CAGGCACAAGAAGGATCACTTGTTGGAGTCTTACAGGACAGCAGTTCCCCAGCAATTAGTTGTGGTAACACCTGTGCAATACTGTCATTGATATTTGCTTGTTAAAGATTCAGCACCCAATATTTTCATCTGGGACTGGTCACACAGTCAGCATCTGCTCACACTTCCCAAGAGTCCAGACTCTCAGAAGCAAAGCAGATGTTCAGCCTTAATCATATTTGCACCAATATTTTATACACTGTGAGCCTCTCATCAGTAAGTTACCAGAACCCTCCTGAAATCTAAGTTCCTAAACACTAAGAGCTACCTTGTATGCAGCAAGCCTTTCTAAGGATAAATAATTTGGCCTTCAGTGTTAGCTCTTCTGCACAGGCATACAATCCATAAAGATGTAATTTTTGTTACAGTAATAGCACAAAGGCAAGGAGGGAAAGAACAGAATTATATAGGAACAATGTTTCTGTATACTATTGAAATTAAATTGGTATTAAATCCAACCTGATATAAGTTGGATGTTGATTAAAATCCTCAAAGTAACCACTAATAAAATAATTCAAAAGAGTAAGATGAGATATTAAACATGGTATGTAAAAACATCTATTATATAACAAGAAGGCAATAATGGAGAAATAGTGGCACAAAAAACATTTAGAAAAACAGTAATGTGGATATTTACAAAATAGCTAAGTAAATTCTACCTTATAAATAATTACATTAAATATAAATGGATGAAGCACTCCAATCAAAAGGCAGAGACTAGCAAAATGGATTTTTTTTAAAAAACAGGATCCAACTATATGCTGCTTGCTAAACTAAAAACTTTAGTTTAAAAACACAAATAGGTTGAGGGTAAATGGTTGAGGAAAAACATACCATGCAAACAGCATACCAAAGAGAGCTGGTTTGTTTGAACTAACATCAGAGGAAATAGACCTTTAAGACAAAAATTGTTACTAGAGACAGTAGCTAAATTATCATGGTAAAATTGTCAATCCATCAAGAATATGTATGTAATCGTTATAAACATAGGCAACTAACAAGAAGGCCCCGAATCATATGCAGTAAAAAATGTCAGAAGTAGACAATTCAACAGTTATAGTTGGAGGTTTTAATACCCTGCTTTCAGTAATTGATAGTGCAACTAGAAAGAAAAATCAACAGAAAGTATAAGTCCTGAACAACACTCTAAACCAACAATTACAAACTAAACAGTTATCTACCGTACTCCATTCACCCTACTTCAATGGAATACACATTCTCCTCAAGTGCACATGGCACATTCTTCAGAATAGACCTTATGTTAGACTACAAAATAAGTGTCAATAAATTTTAAATGGTTAAAATCATGGAAAATATCTTTTCTGATCACAGTGGAATAAAACAAGATATCAATAACAGAAAGAAAAATGGAAAATTCATAAATATGTGGAAATCAAATAATATTTCTTAATCAGTGGATCAAAGATGAAGTCATAAGGGAAATTAGAAAATACCTTGTGATAAATGAAAGCAAACACAGCACACCAAAATTTTGAGGGTATAGTGAAAACAGTGCTCATAGAGAAATTTATAATATAAGTGACTCTATATTTTTTTACATCTGAAATCAACCTTCTACCTTAAGGAATTAGAAAAAGAAGGGCAAGCTAAATCCAAGGCAAGCAGATAAAAAAAAAGTAATAGACATTAGAATGGAAATAAAGGAAACAGAATAGAAAGTACAGTAGAAAAAAAGGGTATGAAAAGTTGTTTCTTTGAAAACACAAAAAATTGACAACCTTTAACTAGACTGACAGAAAAAATGCTGAAGGATTCAGTTTACTAAAGTTAGGAAGAAAGAGGTGATGCTATCACCAACCTTACAGAAACATACAGCATTATAAGAGAATGTCTCGAATAAGTGTATGAGTATAAATTAGATAATTTAGATAAGATGGCCAAATTCATAAAATGACACAAGCTATGGAAGCCAACACAAGAAATAGGAGGTCCAAATAGACCTTTAACAAGTAAAGAGATGTAAGACTTAGTAATCAGAAAACTTCCCACAAAGGAAATCCTGGGAGCAAATGACTTCACTGATGAATTCTAGCAAACATTTAAAGAAAAATTAACATCAGTCTTTTACAAACTCTTACAAAAATTAGAAGACCAAAAATGTACCAACTTATTCTTTGAGGCCAGTACTGCCTGATACCAAAGCCAATCAAAGACACCACAAGAAAAGAAAATACAGAACAATATTTCTTGTGTCTATAGATACAAAGCTCCTCAGCAGAAAAGTAGGAAACTGAATCTAGAAGCTTACTAAAAGGATTATGGACAATGATCAAGTGAGATTTATCCCAGTGATGCAAGGTTGGTTCAACATCAAACCAATTTTGTTCTTTCAAATAAAATTAATCAATGTAATATACCATATTATTAGAGTAAGATACAAAAATCACATTGTTTTCAAGGTAAGACAATATCTAACACATTTTCATAAAACACTCATCAAAGTAAGAATAGAAGGGTACACCCTTAACCCTCAAGAGCATCTTAAACATATAGTTAACATCACGCTTACTGGCAAAAGACTGAAATTTTCCCTTAAGTTCAATAATAAGATAAGGATGTTCACTCTTAGCACTTCAATACTGTATTGTATTCAGTATTGATTGTATTGGAGTGTATACAGGACACTCAGGCAAGGAAAAGAAAGGAAAGATTGGGGGGAAAAAGTAAAATTGTCTTTAATTTGTAAATGACATGATATTCAAAATAGAAATCCTAATGAATCCATTAAAAAATAACTATTAGAGCTAGTGAACAAGCTCAGCAAGTTACAGGAGACATATTCACTATAAAAAGTCTATTGCATTTTTATACACTAGGAATGAACAATCAAAAATTAAATTAAGAAAATCCATTTGCAATAGCATAAAAAAATAAGATACTTAGGAATGACTAACAAAAAAATGCAAGGCTTGTACACTGAAAGCTGCAAAACATTGAAAGAAATGTCTAAGTAAATAGAAGAATTCTGTGATGATGGATTGAAAGACTTACTGTTAAGATGGCAAAACTCATATTGATCTACAAAGACAGTGCAAGCCCAACCAAAATCCTGACTGGATTTCTTGAGAAGGTGATCCTAAAATTCATGTGGAATTTGAAAGAAACCCAGAATAGCCATAAAAATCTTATTGGAGAACTGGCAATTCTTTGAATTTTACTGCAAAGCTATAAAAGTCCAGAAACACTCCTACATTTACAGTGAATTGATTTCTGATAAAATTGCTAAGACAGTTCAATGGGGGAAAGAGTAATCTTTTTAACAAATGGTGCTAGGATAACTGGATATCTGCATGCAAAAGAATAAAGTTAGACTCCTACCTCACATCATATACAAGTTAACTGAGAATAGACAGAAGACTAACAAGATGTAAATCTTCCTGACCTTGGATTAGGCTGTGGTTTCTTAAATTAACATCAGAAGCACAAGCAACAACAAAAAATTATATAGTTGGAGCTAGAAACTTAAAAAACTTTTGTTCTTCAAAGGACATCATTAAGAAATGGAAAAGAATTGACACATTGGAGAAAATATTTGCCAATCATGTATCTGATAAGGATCTAGTATCCAGAATATATAAAGAATTCTTAACAATTGAATAATAAAAGGGTAAATAATGCAATTTTTAAGTGAATCAATAATTTGAATAGACTTTTCTCCAAAAACGATACACAAGTGGCCACTATGCACATGAAAAGATGCTCACCATTAGTCATTAAGGAAATACAGTTCAAAATCACAGTAAAATGTCACTTTACACCTCCTCAGGTACATATAATAAAAAGACTGACAATAACGAGTGTTGGAAGTCCAAAATAGGCAAATCTATAGAGACAGAAAGTAGATCAGTAGCTGGCAAGGGTTAAGGGGAATGAAAATGTTCTGCAGTAGATAGTGGTATAGTTTGCAAAATCTTGTTAGATGTACTAAAAACTACTGAATTGTATACTTAAAATTTCTTAAAATTTTTTCTTAAAAATTTTTCAAATAAAAATATTTTTTAGCAAACTGAATCCAATCTATAAAAAGAATAATGCACCATGACCATGTGTGGTTATACTACAAATAAAAACCTTCCTCAGTTTTTTAAGTTTGCCAGTGTATAATCCACCATACTAACAGTCTAACAAAAACTACCTGATCATATCAACTGGTGCAAAGAAAAAAAATTTAAACATTCACTAATGATAAAAACGTTAAACTAGAATATATGTCAGTCTACATAAATCTACAACAAATAAAATATTTAGGTAAAAAATAGTCTGTGGCTCAAGTATCAAGTGATTTCACTTATCTGTGGAGTATAAGAACAAAGAAAAAACTGAAGGAACAAAACAGCAGCAGACCCACAGAACCCAAGAATGGACTAACAGTTACCAAAGGGAAAGGGACTGGGGAGGGTGGGTGGGAAGGAGGGATAAGGGGGGAAATGGGGCATTACGATTAGCGCACACAATGTACCGGTGGGGAGGGGACACGGGGAAGTCAGTATATACAGAGAAGACAAGTAATGATTCTATAGCATCTTACTGTGCGGATGGACAGTGACTGTAATGGGGTATGTGGGGGGGACTTGATAATGGGAGTCTAGTAACCATAATGTTCAAGTAATTGTACATTAATGATATCAAAATTTAAAAAAAATTTTTAAAGTCTGTGGCTAAGGAAAGTTTTGGAAAATATTTTGTATAATATTCTTGACCTTCAAACTAGAATACATATAACACTTTTGAATACAAGTTATCAGTAGTTGCAAAAGGAGGGAATTTTTTATACCTATTTGGTACATTGTATTGAACAGTTTCTGTAACCCTTGCTTATAATAGCAGTATTGATTAAAGGAATATATAACTGACACATAGATTTTTCTGTTTTTTGTCTGTCTCACTAGAAATTTGGTTTTTGTTTTCAAAGTTATATTATCTCCTTTTTTTTTTATTAGGTGTATTAGACACAGAAATGATTGGGGAGCTCTTATTCTAGTGGATGATCGCTTCAGGAGTAACCCAAGTCGATATATATCCGGTAAGATCCTCAGCTGGACTTACAGTAAGAATTGGTAACAATTTTTGCTATTTAATGACTTCTACCTTTAAAGACAAGGAATTGGACAGAGATTTTGAATTAATAGCTCAAACGTGGAAACTTAATTTTGACTGGAAATCTAGCCTTTTAATGCTTATGTGTTGACAAAAAGATCTTTATAGAGGAGAAGAATCTGGTTAGTTACCCACATAATATTAATCAGTTAGGATCCTTTGATTTCATAGAATGTGGGATTTGATTTAGTAAAATAGTAATAAATCATTTAGCATTGTCAGGGAAAAAGCTATCCCACAGAAATGAAGTTTCCAATACTGTTTTTATATTTAGGCACACAAGCACATCTCTTTTGGCTGCTTAGGATTCTTTATTCTTTCATTCTGGTTGGGGTTTGTTTGTTGTGTTTGTTTGTTTGTTTGTTTGTTTGGAAATTCTTAAGTTGTTATACAGTTTATATTAGAGCTAATATTTTCTAAAGAAAAAAAGCACTCCTGCATACTGCATGATCAAGTAGACAGTCATTTTTCCCCTACGGAAATGAACAAATATTATATGCCCGTAGTTTTTACTCAGCTGTAACCCAGTCCCTTTAGAGTCAGTACCAGGAATCCATCTGTCATTAAAGAACTGTTGGAAGTACTTGAATCTTTATTGTTAACTTTAAGCTAAAAAGTCCAGGCCATACTATAATGGAGATGCTAAATTTTAAATTTGTTTCCAATTAGGTGTCTACGGGTATAGACTCTACTTTTTCCATTTCAGAGCCTAATATACTATATTTGTTTTGATATTAAAACATATCCACCTGGATTAAATGCTGCTTTATTAGTCTCCTTCCCTTTCCATGTACAAGCGGTTGCACTTAAGACATAACTAAAAGCAAAATGTTAAGTGCTTATGTTTAGTCAGCAGGCGGAGCTCAGACTCTTCCAAGTTTTCAGAAGCAAAAACTGACATTTTTACATTGGAAAGTCTGTCAGTTACAGAAAGGTCAAGATGAAAGCAGTAACTATAATACTGAAATTTTTCAGTTTTGGAAATTTTCATTTATTTGGCATATTTATTTCCCCCAAGCAAACAAAAATAAAGAACTTTAAAATAAATGCTTATTTAAAATGCATTACCTTATTTTAAAATCTAGAATTTAAATTTTTACCTCATAGTTCAGATTTGTTGAGAAATTTTTGAAATAATTTCATTATTTCTGTATGTTTTTTACACAATTTTTTCTGTAATTCATAAAGTGTAAAAATCTTTTCCAATTTAGGCAAAATAATAGCTCTACTACATACAAATTCCTTTTAATGACTTCTGTGTTTAAACACAATTTGTATTTAAATAATATATTCTTTAAATAAAGAAACAAACTAAAAGAATGCATTTGAAGTGAAAGTACAGTAGTTTAGGTTGCTTGAAACACTGTCACCTTTCTCTGAATTTAAAATACCATAGTGACTTTTTAAACTGCTCCAAAAGATGATGACAGTTTTAGTAACATTTATTTCTAAAAGTTCAAAAATACCATTTTGAATTTCATTCCGAAGTGACTCATACTACTGAACACCTTATACTCTTGTTATGGTCATTTTTATGCAGTTTTCATTTTTCACAGGTTAAGTCTTGTTCCTTACAACTTGTTTATATATTTGTATATTAAAAAATAACTACATAATAAATATTCAGACAGGACATGATTTGCCCATAAAACTGTTACTCCTTTCCCCCTCTGAATAGTTTAATATATATATTTGGAATTGGGGGAGAAGCAGAACCAAAAAATATGACACTGAAGTCTTACATGTATTTTTGCAAAAGGAGTCCAAAAAAGCTGGAATGGAAGATTATGTTGTTTACAACTTCAAGTTTCCCTAATATTAAAAGATAGTTTTTGTTGGGAATAATAATAAAGTTAAATTTGCCTTATTCCCTTATTATTCTAAACTCATGAATAATACATTTCCCTCTCCCCCCTCTACTCCCACTGCATCTTCCCTCCTTCTAGTTGACAATCACTGCATATAAAGAGAAATGCTACTGATAACATGGGCATATTGTACATATGAAGATAAAAAGGTAGGAAAATCTGTAAATCTGTATACTCTAAATTCAAGGTAGATCCTTCATTAGAAAAAATGTTTTTTCTTAATACATAATATCTTAGTAACTAAATAACCAGTTTCTTCCCTGGGTTACATTTTTCCTTAGGACTTTCTAAGTGGATACGGCAGCAGATTCAGCACCATTCCTTTGAAAGTGCAATGGAGTCCTTAGCTGAATTTTCCAAAAAGCACCAAAAAGACATTGATGCATCCAAAGAGGACAGAAAGCCTGTACAAGACAGTGAGACAACACTTGAAGTGACCTGTTTGAAGGACAAAACTTACTTAGTGAAAACAAGTCAGCTACCACCAGAAAATCCTAAGGAAGGCGAAACAAAAATGTGTGTGCAAGAACTACATGCCCCTAAAACAATAACTAAAAGTTCATCTACACCAAGCGACATCATCTCCAGAAAAAAGAAAAGTATGAAAAGTTCTTCCCATTTACATTTGATAGAAAAGTCTTTCATTATATTTAGTGAAATGATATTTATTATGCTGAAGATTAACTTCCTTAAATATGTTGGTTTGTAATAGATGTTATTGTAAAATAATGAAATGGTATGATGTATTGGAATGGGACAGTTGTCACGCAACTGGGCATATGTTCTGGTTTTCCACTAACAAGCTTTGCCCCTAACTTTCTGACCATGAGCAAGTCACTTGACTTTTTTGAGTTGTACCAGAAAAAGTAATATCTCTCCCTCCAGGTGGGTTGTAAAGATCTAATAAGATGATAAATCTCACAGCATTGTAAAGTACTATACAGACGGTTGATGTTTTTCTAAAGGCTATATTAAAAGTTGGTCTAATTTATAGATACTTCTCTTCCATGAATTTCTTTAGGGAAGTGAGAGTCATTTAAATGATAAAGAACATTATTTTAAAATATATTAGAATATAATGGTCTGTGTCAGGGATTGGCAAACTGATTCGGCCTGCTGTTTGTTTTTGTAAATAAAGTTTAATAGAACACAATTACTCCCATTCATTTACATGTATAGCAGAGTTGAGAAGTTGTGTATGTATTACCCTAGAACAGCATAATTGAATATTCTCAATAGATACAGTATGACCCAACAAAGCCTAAAATATTTACTATCTGGTGTGTTACAGAAAAAGTTTGCCAAACTGTGGCCTATATCATTAGATATCATTTTAATTGTTTTAATTAATATATGATTGTAGATTAATGTATCAATTTTCAAATGTTTGCTTTGTATCATATGCTTCTATCCTAAATAAATGTTCTTTTTAACAAATGGTGCTAGGATAACTGGATATCTGCATGCAAAAGAATAAAGTTAGACTCCTACCTCACATCATATACAAGTTAACTGAGAATAGACAGAAGACTAACAAGATGTAAATCTTCCTGACCTTGGATTAGGCTGTGGTTTCTTAAATTAACATCAGAAGCACAAGCAACAACAAAAAATTATATAGTTGGAGCTAGAAACTTAAAAAACTTTTGTTCTTCAAAGGACATCATTAAGAAATGGAAAAGAATTGACACATTGGAGAAAATATTTGCCAATCATGTATCTGATAAGGATCTAGTATCCAGAATATATAAAGAATTCTTAACAATTGAATAATAAAAGGGTAAATAATGCAATTTTTAAGTGAATCAATAATTTGAATAGACTTTTCTCCAAAAACGATACACAAGTGGCCACTATGCACATGAAAAGATGCTCACCATTAGTCATTAAGGAAATACAGTTCAAAATCACAGTAAAATGTCACTTTACACCTCCTCAGGTACATATAATAAAAAAGACTGACAATAACGAGTGTTGGAAGTCCAAAATAGGCAAATCTATAGAGACAGAAAGTAGATCAGTAGCTGGCAAGGGTTAAGGGGAATGAAAATGTTCTGCAGTAGATAGTGGTATAGTTTGCAAAATCTTGTTAGATGTACTAAAAACTACTGAATTGTATACTTAAAATTTCTTAAAATTTTTTCTTAAAAATTTTTCAAATAAAAATATTTTTTAGCAAACTGAATCCAATCTATAAAAAGAATAATGCACCATGACCATGTGTGGTTATACTACAAATAAAAACCTTCCTCAGTTTTTTAAGTTTGCCAGTGTATAATCCACCATACTAACAGTCTAACAAAAACTACCTGATCATATCAACTGGTGCAAAGAAAAAAAATTTAAACATTCACTAATGATAAAAACGTTAAACTAGAATATATGTCAGTCTACATAAATCTACAACAAATAAAATATTTAGGTAAAAAATAGTCTGTGGCTCAAGTATCAAGTGATTTCACTTATCTGTGGAGTATAAGAACAAAGAAAAAACTGAAGGAACAAAACAGCAGCAGACCCACAGAACCCAAGAATGGACTAACAGTTACCAAAGGGAAAGGGACTGGGGAGGGTGGGTGGGAAGGAGGGATAAGGGGGGAAATGGGGCATTACGATTAGCGCACACAATGTACCGGTGGGGAGGGGACACGGGGAAGTCAGTATATACAGAGAAGACAAGTAATGATTCTATAGCATCTTACTGTGCGGATGGACAGTGACTGTAATGGGGTATGTGGGGGGGACTTGATAATGGGAGTCTAGTAACCATAATGTTCAAGTAATTGTACATTAATGATATCAAAATTTAAAAAAAATTTTTAAAGTCTGTGGCTAAGGAAAGTTTTGGAAAATATTTTGTATAATATTCTTGACCTTCAAACTAGAATACATATAACACTTTTGAATACAAGTTATCAGTAGTTGCAAAAGGAGGGAATTTTTTATACCTATTTGGTACATTGTATTGAACAGTTTCTGTAACCCTTGCTTATAATAGCAGTATTGATTAAAGGAATATATAACTGACACATAGATTTTTCTGTTTTTTGTCTGTCTCACTAGAAATTTGGTTTTTGTTTTCAAAGTTATATTATCTCCTTTTTTTTTTATTAGGTGTATTAGACACAGAAATGATTGGGGAGCTCTTATTCTAGTGGATGATCGCTTCAGGAGTAACCCAAGTCGATATATATCCGGTAAGATCCTCAGCTGGACTTACAGTAAGAATTGGTAACAATTTTTGCTATTTAATGACTTCTACCTTTAAAGACAAGGAATTGGACAGAGATTTTGAATTAATAGCTCAAACGTGGAAACTTAATTTTGACTGGAAATCTAGCCTTTTAATGCTTATGTGTTGACAAAAAGATCTTTATAGAGGAGAAGAATCTGGTTAGTTACCCACATAATATTAATCAGTTAGGATCCTTTGATTTCATAGAATGTGGGATTTGATTTAGTAAAATAGTAATAAATCATTTAGCATTGTCAGGGAAAAAGCTATCCCACAGAAATGAAGTTTCCAATACTGTTTTTATATTTAGGCACACAAGCACATCTCTTTTGGCTGCTTAGGATTCTTTATTCTTTCATTCTGGTTGGGGTTTGTTTGTTGTGTTTGTTTGTTTGTTTGTTTGGAAATTCTTAAGTTGTTATACAGTTTATATTAGAGCTAATATTTTCTAAAGAAAAAAAGCACTCCTGCATACTGCATGATCAAGTAGACAGTCATTTTTCCCCTACGGAAATGAACAAATATTATATGCCCGTAGTTTTTACTCAGCTGTAACCCAGTCCCTTTAGAGTCAGTACCAGGAATCCATCTGTCATTAAAGAACTGTTGGAAGTACTTGAATCTTTATTGTTAACTTTAAGCTAAAAAGTCCAGGCCATACTGTAATGGAGATGCTAAATTTTAAATTTGTTTCCAATTAGGTGTCTACGGGTATAGACTCTACTTTTTCCATTTCAGAGCCTAATATACTATATTTGTTTTGATATTAAAACATATCCACCTGGATTAAATGCTGCTTTATTAGTCTCCTTCCCTTTCCATGTACAAGCGGTTGCACTTAAGACATAACTAAAAGCAAAATGTTAAGTGCTTATGTTTAGTCAGCAGGCGGAGCTCAGACTCTTCCAAGTTTTCAGAAGCAAAAACTGACATTTTTACATTGGAAAGTCTGTCAGTTACAGAAAGGTCAAGATGAAAGCAGTAACTATAATACTGAAATTTTTCAGTTTTGGAAATTTTCATTTATTTGGCATATTTATTTCCCCCAAGCAAACAAAAATAAAGAACTTTAAAATAAATGCTTATTTAAAATGCATTACCTTATTTTAAAATCTAGAATTTAAATTTTTACCTCATAGTTCAGATTTGTTGAGAAATTTTTGAAATAATTTCATTATTTCTGTATGTTTTTTACACAATTTTTTCTGTAATTCATAAAGTGTAAAAATCTTTTCCAATTTAGGCAAAATAATAGCTCTACTACATACAAATTCCTTTTAATGACTTCTGTGTTTAAACACAATTTGTATTTAAATAATATATTCTTTAAATAAAGAAACAAACTAAAAGAATGCATTTGAAGTGAAAGTACAGTAGTTTAGGTTGCTTGAAACACTGTCACCTTTCTCTGAATTTAAAATACCATAGTGACTTTTTAAACTGCTCCAAAAGATGATGACAGTTTTAGTAACATTTATTTCTAAAAGTTCAAAAATACCATTTTGAATTTCATTCCGAAGTGACTCATACTACTGAACACCTTATACTCTTGTTATGGTCATTTTTATGCAGTTTTCATTTTTCACAGGTTAAGTCTTGTCCCTTACAACTTGTTTATATATTTGTATATTAAAAAATAACTACATAATAAATATTCAGACAGGACATGATTTGCCCATAAAACTGTTACTCCTTTCCCCCTCTGAATAGTTTAATATATATATTTGGAATTGGGGGAGAAGCAGAACCAAAAAATATGACACTGAAGTCTTACATGTATTTTTGCAAAAGGAGTCCAAAAAAGCTGGAATGGAAGATTATGTTGTTTACAACTTCAAGTTTCCCTAATATTAAAAGATAGTTTTTGTTGGGAATAATAATAAAGTTAAATTTGCCTTATTCCCTTATTATTCTAAACTCATGAATAATACATTTCCCTCTCCCCCCTCTACTCCCACTGCATCTTCCCTCCTTCTAGTTGACAATCACTGCATATAAAGAGAAATGCTACTGATAACATGGGCATATTGTACATATGAAGATAAAAAGGTAGGAAAATCTGTAAATCTGTATACTCTAAATTCAAGGTAGATCCTTCATTAGAAAAAATGTTTTTTCTTAATACATAATATCTTAGTAACTAAATAACCAGTTTCTTCCCTGGGTTACATTTTTCCTTAGGACTTTCTAAGTGGATACGGCAGCAGATTCAGCACCATTCCTTTGAAAGTGCAATGGAGTCCTTAGCTGAATTTTCCAAAAAGCACCAAAAAGACATTGATGCATCCAAAGAGGACAGAAAGCCTGTACAAGACAGTGAGACAACACTTGAAGTGACCTGTTTGAAGGACAAAACTTACTTAGTGAAAACAAGTCAGCTACCACCAGAAAATCCTAAGGAAGGCGAAACAAAAATGTGTGTGCAAGAACTACATGCCCCTAAAACAATAACTAAAAGTTCATCTACACCAAGCGACATCATCTCCAGAAAAAAGAAAAGTATGAAAAGTTCTTCCCATTTACATTTGATAGAAAAGTCTTTCATTATATTTAGTGAAATGATATTTATTATGCTGAAGATTAACTTCCTTAAATATGTTGGTTTGTAATAGATGTTATTGTAAAATAATGAAATGGTATGATGTATTGGAATGGGACAGTTGTCACGCAACTGGGCATATGTTCTGGTTTTCCACTAACAAGCTTTGCCCCTAACTTTCTGACCATGAGCAAGTCACTTGACTTTTTTGAGTTGTACCAGAAAAAGTAATATCTCTCCCTCCAGGTGGGTTGTAAAGATCTAATAAGATGATAAATCTCACAGCATTGTAAAGTACTATACAGACGGTTGATGTTTTTCTAAAGGCTATATTAAAAGTTGGTCTAATTTATAGATACTTCTCTTCCATGAATTTCTTTAGGGAAGTGAGAGTCATTTAAATGATAAAGAACATTATTTTAAAATATATTAGAATATAATGGTCTGTGTCAGGGATTGGCAAACTGATTCGGCCTGCTGTTTGTTTTTGTAAATAAAGTTTAATAGAACACAATTACTCCCATTCATTTACATGTATAGCAGAGTTGAGAAGTTGTGTATGTATTACCCTAGAACAGCATAATTGAATATTCTCAACAGATACAGTATGACCCAACAAAGCCTAAAATATTTACTATCTGGTGTGTTACAGAAAAAGTTTGCCAAACTGTGGCCTATATCATTAGATATCATTTTAATTGTTTTAATTAATATATGATTGTAGATTAATGTATCAATTTTCAAATGTTTGCTTTGTATCATATGCTTCTATCCTAAATAAATGTCATAGTGAATTCAAGGCCATTATACTGATAATCAAGAAACCTCTGTTCTGGGTCCAATTACTAACTGAAAATTAGAGTTTTATAACTCTAAGCAAGTAATTTAGTCTCTGTGGTTGTCAGTTTCCATAAAGGAAGTAGTCTAGGTCAGTTTTTCTTCATCATTCAGTAGTGGATTTTCAAGGCAAATTTTTATAGCCTATTCCTTCCTTTACTCAGCCCTCTTCTTCCTCTTCCTTTTTTAACCTTCCTTTTCTCATTCACTGAGGTCCCTGATGTGGAATTTGATAGTTTACCAGACAACATTGTAACTTATGCTAAGTAATCACTGGAGACTAAGATTCCTTTCAGAGTTAATAATTTTGTGCTTTATAATACTCTAAGATAGAAGTCCTTGTACTACTAATTGTAGGCTCTAAGTGATGTATCCTATATAGTTATTGAGTATTTCTAACAAAAAATTATTTTAATATAATAATTATGTTAAGAGCAGAAAGTTAACATTCTTAAATTTTTGTATTGATAGATGATCCGGTATTATTGGAGGAGTCTGCCCAGGCAATGAAAGCAGAAAAAATTGTGATTTCCAGATCTATAAGCCCAACCTTCAATAAACAGACAAAGAGAGCTAACTGGCCTAGCTCTAATTCTTTAGGAGAGTACCCTACTGGTGACATTCTGAATGCCACACCTATGTTCAGGTCATCAGAGGACTGTGCCTCTAGTTCTTCCACTTTAGAAACAGACAAGGGATTTAAATCTATTTTGCCATTCACTGACGAATGTGAGTCCTCATCTGTGACAAAAAACACATCATGCCTTCAATCAGAAACTTTCATTCCATCAATAAAGATTGATGCTACTCTTCTTAAAAAAAATCAATCCAAACAGCTGCTTGGCTGTGAAGAAGCCCTGGATCCAGACATCGAATTGTCTCTAGTAAGTGAAGAGGCTGAACTTTCCACTCCAAATAGAGATTTTGAAACAGAAGCAGAAGATGAATCTATCTATTTTACACCTGAACTTTATGATCCTGAGGATACAAATGAAGAAAAAAATGAGCTGGTTGGAACTGATAGAGATAATAGATCAGCTAATAATTCAGATTGCATTTTAGCTGAAGATCTTGAAATGAGAATTATGAAGGGAGCAGATTCAGTCGGAGAAATGAAAACTGAGAATTGTACAGACACAGAGTTGAATAGACTCATGCATATTACAGAAAATAAAATTGATGACATTGGTGATAATAATGTAAAAACAACACATGTAAGTGAATTGGAACTCAGAAAAATGTGTTAAACAGATACAAAGAACTCTAACAGTTTCCTTCCAAAAATAAAGGTGTATTTTCTGGTGTACTTCAAGCTATAAAAATATGTTGTCATGTTTATTTTAAACTGTACGATAAATGATAACATATACTGAATAAGTAGTAAAGGTTTTTAATTTGAAATGCATTTTTCACTTTAATTCATTAGAGTTTTTTTAAAGTCTGTGTTCAGAAATGTAAGTTTTATTTGCTATTGAGTTTTGATAGTGACTCATACAAAGTATTCTCCAAAAAGTCATCCTTGGCTAAATGCAGTTTAAAACTGATCAACCTAAAAGATACATAGTTTCCTAGGCACACTAAATTTCACATAAATATTTGTATTTTGTAGTTCCCTTAACGTTTGTTTTCATATTGACACACAAACATTCGTAATAGTCGAATCCGTCACACCTCAGTCATGTTTCACTACAGATTTGACCTCAAATTGGTATGAAATTTTTTTAGAAATCAAAATTTTCTTCACAGTTTATTCTTGCCTACTTATAAAAGGTAATTAAGAATTAAGAAAGCTGCATATATTTTTAATTGAAATTGTTTTACCTTTATTTTGCAATAAACCAAAATAAAGCATGTTTTTAGCAAATCATGTAAAGTTACAAAATGCCAAATTAAGGACTCCAAATTTTCATTTCTAATACTTAGTTTCATCACTGTTGTGAAAAGAAGTGTCATGATCCTAGGCTCTAATTATGTAAATGTTAAGGTAGAAAACTTCATATATAAGTTTGAGAAGGAAACTCAAACTTGGAACTGTAGCCAAAGAAGTGTTCCTTTATAGCTCAGTAAGACTTTTTATAAATTTTGACTCTGTTTATGTTTTTGTGAATGAAGCTGTGCTTATGATCAAAAATGATTATGAAAGATGTTCTTCTCTGACATCATTCCAAAAATACATTTACTGATCTTCTATATTCAATGGACATTTAGGCTTCTTGTGATTTGTATTGAAATTTTATGAGCTGCTGAAGTTGTTGATGTGTTTTATTACTTTCATGTTAGAATTCCCAGCAATCAAGTATCTTTTATATTCATTTGGATAAATGAATTATTATATATGCACATGTTTACTTTTATTTTTACAGTGTTTAGATTGAATACAGCTTGTTTCTATAGCATTGGCTATTACAATTCGAAGCATGATTCAAAGAAATTTAAGTTATTTACCAAAGAATTCATGTATCAGTTGGGATGTATTAGATCCCACCTAGTATTATATATTTTTCATAGTGGATTCGTGAATAAAGTGTTACCAACACTAGATGATAAGGTAATTTCTAAATTGTTTTGAAAGGTTAAAATCATTTCTCTGGTATTGTTCTTAATCCACAAGTACGTGTTATGGGGAAGTAGATTACCAAATGGAAGAAAAGATGTGGGTTCTATTCCATGCTTTGCCACTCATTTGCTTAATCATGTTGGCATTCACTATGCCTTTTGGGCAGTTAGATTTTCCTTTGAAATGCAGAATTTAATACTATAAAGTCATGCAAATCCTTTTCAGCTTTAAATCCATAATTTAAAGGAATATATGTAGCTGTTTTACTCTGAATCAATTTTTATTTGCTTTTGTTCCAAAATATTTAAACTAAAGCAAACCAATTGTAGGGAAGGTGAAATGACACTCATCTATCTACCTTTAGAGAATAATTGTTTAAATTATTATTTTTTAATTAAAAAGTTTTTGACTCTTTAAAGTGCCTTTAGAAGAATTGGTAAGCTACAAGAGAAAAATCAAGCACAGTATTTTTTAGATATCCTTAGTGTTATCCACCTTGATGTCAAATATCTCCTTTCCTAGATAATATTTACTCTTTGCAAACCTAATTCTCTCTGAGGCTAATATCCATTACTAAGAATGTGTATAGAAATGTACAAGCTTTTAGTAATTCTAAGTTTCAAAAATTTTGTACAGTGATGTTGTACAATTAAAACGGGCATTATCACCTCAGATCACGACTTTGACCAGGATGATATTTTAGGAAGTAAAGTACTAGCCTTTGTAACAGACTAGGAGGTAGAACATTTTCATTAATGATAATGTACTTTTTAAAGAGTTTTTTAGAGAGTTAAATAAGTTAAAACTTGTAAAAGCGTTTAATGGTATCTGGCACATGATAAGCTCTCAACTTATCTTTACTAATTATTACTTAGTAAACTAACCAAATATCTGGAGTACACCCTTGCTGTTTTATGTGAAGCCTTCTGTAATGATACATAGAGAAACCAGTAACAAAGAATTGTTATATAGTAGGAAGGAAAAATTATTTAGCTAGTTTATTTTTTAAGGCTTTTGAGATGCATAAGACAGAAATTGTTTATCACGTAATTTAACTTCAATGCATACAAATAATTATCTAATACTGAATTTACTTAAAGGCTGAAAGTATATGTCAGTATACAGGCCACAAACCAGGAAAAGTACCAGTTGAAGAAAGGGCTGTACTCATGGAAGAAAGGTACAGTGTAGAGTAGATGTTTCATGACTTGACTTTTGAAATTTAGATGAATCATTTAAAGCTTTTTATATGTTGAAAAGTAATGACAATTCTTACTATGCTACTACTATGCATTTAATTATTAGATGGTTTATAATTGAATATTGTTTCTAAGTTCACATAAAGGCTTTGTTTTTATTCTTCTTTATGATCTTTTAAGACTAATTGTTTTAAAAAAGTCTTTCCCATATTTTCCTGCAATATGACTTTGTCACATTATTTTCCTATAGTAAAACATTCAAAATACTTAATTCTTTAGGATTGCTTATAAAACTTCATGAAGTCAGTATACCTGTTGTAAAATCACTTGAAAGACTGATTATTGTAGTCATTTTATCTCTAAGTGGTGGCATTTTTTTGTATTTGATTGCCACACAATTATTCTTGCTCAAGCCCTAAACCTCAGATTTATCAATGAGCTACACAAGATTTTACTCTAACCTTTATGAATTCTTGGTAGTTTCTTGTCTGTTTCCATAGACAAATGCAGCCGATCTTGTAAATAGAATGGCAGCATTAATATGAATTTTTTCATAATAAAAAATAAGTTTAAGACCACATCAGACAATGAATGTCAGAGTAAGCCAAAACTGAACATGAAGTATCTGTGCGGCTATTAAACATATAATAAAGAATATCACCTCAGGAAATGAAAATTTAGATGACTTAAGCTTATGATTCTCTAGCCTTTTATGACGCATGTCTACCAAAAAAAAAAAGGAGTTTTGTTTTTTAAGGTTTCATTTGATAGAACCATTAGCTGCCCAGCTTCCTGTACTCTACAATGGAGCCTTGTTATAATATCCATGAGATCTGAGCCCGTAGATCACCATATTGGTGAAACCACCTTATAATGAAGTGCTTTCAGTTACTAAACTCTTGGACAAGGTCCAGAACAACCCATCATATACCAAATTCCACTCTGTAATAAACAAGCTTCAGTGTATTGAACACAAAAGCCTCATGAAATTTACTACTCCCATAAATTAACCTTTGAAAATTTAATGGTAAAAAAGAATACTTTAAAAGGAATCAGAAGGAATATTTTGATAATATTTTTGCATACTGATTAAAAGGAATACTTATTAAGAAGGCATAACAAATAGCTATTTTAAGTGTCTTTTTAATACATTTGAATTATTTTATCTTGGTCTTTTTAAAGCAATTTATATGATCTTTGTTCTCTTACAATTTTCTACCAAACTTCATTTCACTTGAAATGTTTTACATAACATTTACAAAACTTAACCTTAAAATAATCCATTTGGCTCTTTGCTATTATAAAGTACTAAATTGTACAAGTGGCATATCATTTATGCCATCTTTTATATATGATTCATATATAGTTGAAAAGATTTAAGATATTACATACTGATTGTTATTGGGTCAAATGTGTCTTGGTATTTTTATTTTCAAACTGGTAATAGTATTCATGTTTAAATATTAACCATCTTTTCAAACACTTCATCTCTTATTTTGTGTTATAAAAGAACCCAAGTAAACCACCTTACCAGTCAGGATTACTGTATTTCTTGTGAAGCTGAATTATCCCCAAAAGCAAAACGAGGTAGGAAATATAAAAAATTACTTTACACCATCCTTAGTATATATAGGCTTACCTAAATTACAGTAAGGTAGATTAATGTATTAATATGCCCACAGTTCAGTCTTTAAAGTTGATTGACTACATACATAGATTGTTACCATTAGACTTGGAAACATGTTCCAATTCCAATTTTACCAGCTGACTCACTATTTTGGGCAAGTTTCTTCTCTGAACTTCTGTTTCCCATCTTAAAATAGAGATAAATAATTTCATAAGAAACAGATCAAACATGACTATCAAATGCAGTAGAGTGCATAAAAGCGTTTTTTACATCATGGAGAAAGATAACAGGATTTTGGGTCAAAGGAATGAGTTTGAGTTTTGACTCTGCTACTTACCAAGTGGCTTTGGTCATATTATTTTACCTAATTAAGCCTCAGCTTTATTTTCTAGAGGAAAAAAAAAGTGAACAAAATCTACCTAAGGAAATTATTATGAGGATTAAATGAGATGAGAGGTAATATGTGAAAGTGCTTTATAAATTCTGAAGCACTGTCCCAATGTTAGTTGTTAGGAAACTGAAACAATGATCTAGTATAATATTATCTTGGTATCTTGATATTGCACCTTCAAAGGAACTAATAAACCTGTTAGAATTTGGTCCATCTGCTGAAAATATTTTGAGCTTTTTTGAAAAATATTCTGTATCATTATTTTACTGGTGAGACTTAAATATTGTAAAACTATTTTCTATTTTTTCCATTTCATTTTTATCTTTAAGTGTGTGCACACTGCAAACAAAAAATTATCAAAGGAAAACATGCATAAATTCCATTGAGAACATTCTATGTAAGATCCACAGGACACGGTTTTGTTTTTGTTATTGTATTTTGTTTTAGTCTGTGTTTACTACTGTACTCCCAATGTTATATTTGCTGACTAAATGAACTGAATGAAGCATTCTTCAAACAATATCTATTTCTATGAGGACTTCATCAAATGATACTTGACTCATAAATGCCTATTTCATTTGACCAATTTCTAAACTCTGGTGATCTTTCTCTTTCTAAATTTTTGTTCTCATTGGCCTAACAGCATTAAATCCCTCACACTTTTTCTCTGTTCTTTCAGTTGTGAGCCAAATATTGTTTTTCTTTTACTCTAAAAGGTATACTTTACCTAAAGAATATTGGACTCTTGCACATTTCTGAGATGTCCATAAACAGTATTATTCTGACAATTGTGTTCTATAATATGAATTAAATTTCACTAACTGGTTAGTCTTAACTGAATTCTCAACACTGCTTTTCAGTTCATGTATTTTCCCTGACTTTCTCTCACCCATCAGCAACTGGACTAAACTAAATTTAATGTTACTTCTTTTCTCAGTCCAGTTCCCTTCTCAGTTGATATACTTCTTCTGGCTAATCTTATCCTTTCTTGAACTGTAAGCTGATGATTGCTGACCCATCATCCACCTGTCTGCTGAACATCTAGGATGCTGGCATCTCAAACTCAATTTGTACAGAACAATTCTTTTCTGAAACCTGCTCTTCCTGTTTCAACTGGTGACACCATCATTCTAGTTCTCCAAATCTTAAACTAGCAAGCCATTCAAGTTTTTGAGTTGAACAATATTACTACTCTCCCCTATTTCCATCTTCACTGTGATTGCATTAATTCAGACCTTCATAATTTTTCTAGACTAGTGTAATAATTCTTAACTAGTCACTTTGCCATCAGTCTTACTCCTATCCACCTTCTACTTTGTTACCATTTAGCCAGTCTAAAATGCAAAACTGACCATTTCACCCACCTGTATATAAGATCAAGTCAAAACTCCACATGAAGGTACATCAGGCTTTTTATGATCTGGTATTTGTCAGCATCTCCAAACTTATCTCCTGCAGCCCTTTGCTAATTTTACATTCAAGAATACATATAAAAACAGACCATGCTGTTTCATATCCATTGCCTTTACTAATGTTCTTCCACCTGTGCAGAGTTCCTTTCTCCTTTACCTGACAAAGTTATGCTCATCCTAAGAAATTTAGCTACAGCATTATTCCTCTGAAAACTTAGAATGTCCTCTCCACTGCATTAAGTGTACTTCATAGAATTTTCATGGCCACCCAGTGCATAACTTCAACATAGTATATTCAACATTTAATTTTTGCTCTTGTCTTCTGTACCAGACTTACATGTTTGTACAAAGTA